GAAAACCCCCCAAAACCCCCAACCCTCCTCCCTCCCTCCCTCCCATCCCTCTCACCTGCCCCTGCGTCTCCATCTTGACCTCGTCGGCCGCCGCCGCCGGAGCCTTGGGAATCGCCGCCGGCGCCGCGTGACACGGATCCATCGGCTCCCCCTTCTCCACCTTCACCTTGACGTCGTCCAGGCTCAGCGCCGGCGCCGCCCCCAGCTCCTTCTCGTCCTTGTCCAGGAGGTACCTCAGCAGCTGGTGGTCTTTCACCTCCTTCTTCTTCAGCGTGTCCGCATCCGGAGCCGCCGCCGGAGCCGTCGGAGCCGGAGCCGCCGTTGGAGCGGAGCCAGGAGCGCTCTCCTTCTTCTCGTGCTCCATGGCCAGCGTGGTGATGTCGGAAGGGCTCCCCTCCTGGAGCAGCCGGTGCAGGATCTTGTGCCGCTCCGTCAGGGAGCTGTGGGACGACGGGCAGGTGCCGGTGGTGCCGGTGCCGGTGCCGGTGCCGGCGGCGCTCCCGGTTCCCAGCGTCACCAGGGAATCCTTGCAGCTGGTGTCGGCGTCGGCGGCGTGGTGCCGCAGCTGCTGCTCCGCCGTGCTGGCCAGGAGCTGCACCAGCTTGTGGCTGGTGGCCTGCGAGCATTTGGAGTCTCCCTCGGAGTGCAGCATTCCCGAATCCAGCGCTTTGCCCTCGCCGGCACCGGCAGCACCGTCCGCCTGGATCATCTCGCCGAGGATGGAGGCGATCTCCTTGCCCTCCTTGGCGTCGGCTTTGCCGGCCAGGCGGCCGGGGGAGCTCTGCGAGCCGCCGCTCAGCTGCCTCAACGGCGGCGTGCCGGGATATCCCACCGGCGTTCCCGGCCCTTCCGGCAGCCCCGGAACGGGGAACGGGCGAGCACCATTCCCAGCACCATTCCCGCCACCGGCCATGCCCACGGGCGAGTGCATGGAGGGCACGGCGGGGGAGAAGGGGTTGCCGCCGGGCCCCCGGGATCGCGGCGCCAGGCCGGGGCTGAGGCGGTGGCGCGGGGACAGGAATTGGGGCGGCGGCGGCGGCGGCGGCGGCGGCGGGGGGGGGATGCCGGGGCTGCCCATGGGCGAGCCGGAGAGGGGCAGGGCGTGGGTGCCGCCCTGGCTCTGGCTCAAGGTGGATCCCAGCTGGCTCCCGGGAGAACATCCGTAGGCGGAGGGTTGGCCGGAGTTGGCGGGCACCACCATGGTGCCGTTGGAGTTGGGGACGGAGGGAGGAGGAGGAGGAGGAGGAGGAGGAGGAGGCAGCGCCATTCCCGGCCCCGGAGAGACGTTGGGGGTCAGGGCGGGGCCGGAGCGCGGCAGGGACAGGCCGGAGCCGGGGGTGTCCGGTGGGGAGAGCATCCCGTGATCCCTGGGAAAAGGAGAGGAGAAAAGTCGCCTTCGGAAAACCTTCGGAGCCTCGGCGTTCCCCGGGTCCGTTCTCCCCAAAAAAACGGGATTCCGGAGGTTTCTCCAGGTCTGACATTCCCAACACTCCCTTCCATCCCAGCCCCCTCCTTCCTGCATTCCCAGCACGGGGGGGGGAAGATCCATGGAACCCCAGATCCACGGAACCCACATCCACATCCTCACCCCGCCCTTCCTTCCCAAAATATTCTCCGGGAATGGGAAGCGCGTCGGGAAACCTCCATTGAGAAAACATGGATAACCAGGAGCCGGGAAGCTGCTCTGAGCCTCACGGGGATCCCCCCTCCAAACCAGCTCCTGTTCCCAACACAGGGAATGGGGAGAGTTGGATACAACTTCCCCACAGTGGGAAGAGGAGGGACAGACACCGATCCCTGTGGGATCAGTGACGGGATCCAAAGGAACGGCTGGAGGCAGGTTTAGGATGGTTTAGGATGGTTTAGGATGGATTTTGGGAAAAAGGGGTGGATGGACACCGGGACGGTCTCCCGAGGCTTCCAGAGCTCAGGGAGTGCTTGGACGCGGCGGGATTGGGATGGACGATCCCGGGACGGTCCCTCCTGGCCGGGAAATCCCGGGATGGGGAGATTCCCTTGGCAAAACATGAATAACCAGGAGCCAGGAAGCTGCTCTGAGCCTCACTGGGATCCCCCCTCCAAACCAGCTCC